TGTATATCAATAATGTCTCGTTGTACTATATATGAACTGCTTTCTTATTATAGTTCTGGAGGATTAAGTCAAAAGGCTGATAAAGATATGTAGCCTAATAAAATAATGTCGGTGTGAGTAGCAACAGCAGTGAAAATCGTGTTTCATATTTTAATCCCATAGGGATTGCATTAATAACTTTTTTCTTGTTCTGAGATAAATTAAGAATTGGATTTTATACATTTTAGATTACTCCATCCATATTTTGATGAAATTGAAGCATTTGAACCAAATGAAAGTTTATTAAAAGAAGTCAAAGTTCAGGTATAGATAAAGTCTAAAATAAAAACCATTTTTGATGTTTATTATAGAAATGAAAAGATTTACAAATTTTGAGTAAATAGATTGATGTTTTTCAAATCATAAGAATATAAATATGAGCAGTCCAATAAATTTACTATTAATATTTTGGCTTTTTCAGAAACGTAAATAAATATTGATGGAGATCTAGAAAGTAGACATATTAAAAAGTCGATAGCTCTGTCAAATCTTAATAGAAACCCAAATCATCTTAGAGTTTTTCTTAGAACACTATGTAGTATCTATAAGCAAGAAAGTCATTGAAATCAGAAGGAATCAGCTGAAGATGTTCCCTTATAAGCACGAAAACAGAACTAAAAACGATTGGTTTCGTTCATATTTATCTTTCATTGAAATATTTCATCGACAAAATACTTTAACAATACACGTAGCATTCTATATTTTTAAAACTATTGTTGTAGAGAAAGATAACTAAATTCTACTCATATTTATATTTTTATCGTTCGAGAAATATACATAAATATCGTCTAATTTATATTCAGACTCAAAACATAAGATCTATTCATTTAAAGATTAATTGAAACATAATAATTTAAATATTTTCTTTTAGTTATCAAAATCACTTGACGAAACAAAATATTTATTTGTTGATACACCTGATAAACTTAAAAAAATGATAGATCATATTGAAAATCAATCTGAATTAGCAATTGATTTAGAAGTATTTTTTTTCTTTTGAATTTTCTTTTTTTCAAAATGAAAATATTTCTTTATCTATAGCATCATTCTTATCGTTCATATCAAGGTTTTACATGTTTAATGCAAATATCATCACGTACAGAAGATTTTCTAATTGATACAATTGTATTACGAGATGAATTAAATATTTTAAATAATATTTTTACAAATCCAAATATTGTTAAAGTAAATTTTCTAATTATTATTTTTTTTTTATTTTTCATTAAAATCATAAATAGGTTTTTCATGGTGCAGATTCTGATATTGAATGGTTACAAAAAGATTTTGGTCTTTATATTGTTAATATGTTTGATACACATCAAGCAGCACGAGAACTTAATTTACCAGCATTTTCACTTGCTTATCTATTAAAATCTTATTGTGATATTGATGCTAATAAACAATTTCAATTAGCTGATTGGAGAATAAGGTTTTTTATTGAAATTTATTTCTTGACAAAAAAAAAAAAAAAAAACCTAATTTTTGATTTATTTAATTATTTTAGACCTTTACCAGAAGAATATCTTCGTTATGCTCGTGAAGATACACATTATCTTCTTTATATATATGATTTATTACGTAATAGATTAATAGAAAAAAATATTCAATTTCTTAAAACTGTTTATGACAAATCGAAAATGATTTGTCAAAAAGTAATTTAAATAATAAAAATTATTTAATTTAATATATTGTTATTCTTCTCTTTTATTTTTCTTTATTTTAAGCTTTATAAAAAACCATATTTTGATGATAATGCATATCAAAATATTTATTTAAAATCACGTAAAACATTTAATATTCGACAATTAGCTGCTTTAAAATCTCTTTATTATTGGCGCGATAGAATTGCTCGTCAAGAAGATGAATCAACTGGGTATGAAAAATCAATTTTTGTTTTTCTCAAACTTATTTTCTTTCTATTCTAAAGATATGTATTACCGAATCATATGCTTCTTCAAATTTCAGAAATTCTTCCAAGGTATGAAAATAAATTTATATATATATATTTTGTTTTGTGAAACACGATCTAAAAGGAATCAAAATCCAGACTCTTCTTCTGCATGACAAACATTGCTATACGATCACAGCGCAGTAGGCAACAACTTGGACATTAGGAGAATAAATAGACGCGCACTTTTTCGAGATATTAATATGAACTTATATACTTTGATTAACGAACAGTTTTTTGATAAAAACAAAATGTTCCCCCAAATGCTAAGTTCATTGGAAAAACGTAGTTACAAAAAAAAAGGTCAGATTTCAGCATCTTTAGAGAAAAATATCATTTTTTGTTTGTGAAAAATAAAGTTGGACAGTAGAATATATATAGTCTAAAAATAGGACTTACGTTCTATCAATTTATAAGAAAAGTTTTCGCTCTGAAAAAATAATTATTCTTTTCCCGAAACGACGTCTTCAGTAAAGTTGGTCGCAATGTTTTTCTATTAATCCGATATCGATGGAACTTTCAGAGAATGTTCTTCCACACTTAGAACATACACTCAGTTAATGCGCAAATACTTCTGAGCTGAGATACATGTTTTCTAAAAACCGTTGTTTTTAAAAGTTTTTCGCATTTTTTTTTGTCATAAAAGCATTTTGAGAGAAAAATAATGATATATTTGGAATCAGCGTGAAAAACTGCATCGAATAATGTATCATTGGCCAATAGCGTCAAACTACTTCTTTATTGCATTCCTGAAGGATTAAATAAAATGATAGTGAAGACATATGTTCCAATAAAATAATCTTTCTGTGATTAACAAGAGCAACTACATTGTGCTTCACATTTTAATCCTACAGGAATTGTGCTAACAGCTTTGTTTTTTTTTCTCTTAAATTTTTAAAGAGAACCTCAAGGTGTTCGTGCTTGTTGTAATCCAGTACCATTACTTGTTCAACATAATTTACATGATATACATCAAATTATTTTACAAGTTCGAGATATACCTTTAATCGAAGTAAAAAATTCTTTTATCAATAAGGATTTTTGTTCTGAGGAATTTTTTTGTTTTATGTTTTCTTAGGAACCAAAAGAACAACACATAGCACCATTAACATTACCTATATTATATGATCCAGAAAATGTTCTTAATTGTCCACATGATACATCACATCAAATAGAACATCAACAATTAACAAATATAAATTCAACAAAAAAAAATTCTTTCGAATGGTAAATTAATTAAACAAGAGAAAAAAAACATTTTTTTTTTAATATTTTTTTTTCTATAGATCTTTCTTCTATTCTTGATGAAACATTTATTGAAGAATCAAATAAACGTGATAAATTAAACGATTCATTATTACCAATTCAAATTAATAAACAACTATTACCAGTATCAAATATTCGATTAAATAAATCGACAAACTTTTTCGACATGGTATTTTCTAGTTTTATATGTATCTAAATTATTATTTGGTTTTTCAGTTCAGTAGTTATGTGTATTACATAGATCATAAGAAAGAATAATTCATTCGACCTGAGCATTTGTCTGAACGAAATTGATTAAAACGAATAGAATCATCTTGTAGAGTAATGTTAGTAACATACAAAAGTCTAGTTTTTTTTTCTATGTTGCTTTATATATATAGTAGAAAAGTGTTCTTTGATGTTTCATATAAACAAATATAGTTTTATCAAAGTCGATGACATGTTATAAAAATGCTTCGAGTAGACTCATTAAGCCTGATAAAAGATTTAAACTTTTTTGCCTTTTAAGAAAGTTATTTACGTATGAAAATTAGTCCATCTGTAAAGATGATTCTGTCATGCGAATACCTTGTAATTCATTTTTAGTCAAAAACAGAATATTTCTGATTTAATGAATGAGTGCTCTAACGTTAATTTTTTTTAAGCTCTATTCAAAGAACTAATTAGTCTTTTTATGAAAGTTTCAGTTCCATTAGAAAGATCATAACGGAATTACCATCGAATAATCAAAGTTACTTTATTCAGAAAAAATAGAAATCTTGTTTTTTTTCTCTTATGTTGTTATTTTAGACATATTTTTAATAACTGGTATCAGTTCATTTCGTTCTGCGAGATTGAAATTGATTGTTTGAAGAAAAAAACATTAAGTAAAATATGACCATTTCTTATGAAGTGATTCCATCACGATGGGACAGATCCTATTATGAAATATAAACTGAGTGAAAAGAAAGTAGTTGATATCCAGAAATATTCACATGTTATAGGACTAAATAACATCTTTGTGAATACTAAAGATGAAGATCAAGATAAACTTATTTCTAATTGAAATACAATTGTTATCTTCATCATCGTTATCCGTAAATCTCCGATTACATAAGATATATGCAATGCATGAAGTTTTTCGAAGAATATTTAAATCTCTCAATTTTCTTAACTTTATTGATTCAAGTCGAGTATCTATTTAATCTTTCAAAATTTCTAATATATATGAAAGATTTTTCGAGTTAAAATTAATATATATTTTTTTCTTTAGTATATGCCTGAATCATATCGAACTGGTTCTTTGATTAAAACAAAATCATTATGGAAAATTTATTATCCTGATCGAGATTTATCAGGTATAAATTCTCATTAGAAAAAAAAAAAAAACTTAATTTTATTTTACAAAAATAATTTTTTTTTTTTAGTTAATGGAAAATCTAATCAACATGATGTTAATAATCAAAATAGTACTAATATTTCTAAAGAAAAATCTTCTGATGATATTGAAGTTATTATGCTTAATAAACAAGTAAATTTTGCATAATGAATTAAATTATTATTTTATTATTTGTTTTTCTT